GGGGGGGGGGGGGGGGGATGCATAATGTATCAGAACACTGCAGCTCCTTAATTAGGCATTTATTTCCTCTAATGATTCCTCTATTTTCTTTCTCAATTTGCAATTCACAAGAAATTGCATGTAACTAACACCGATCCACAAGCTGAATCATAGGACCAATCAGTACCATGCAAATCTAATCAGATTTCAACTTTACCCTCAATCATATACAGTTCTTACTCCAACCAAGAAACTTATGCTCTGAAAACCATATCAACCTTCATTTTTACTATTCAATCAATTTGATTTCGTTTTGTCAAACCATAGCCAAACTCAATCAACATGTAAAACCCTAGGCAAATCCCACATCGGCAATACACGGGAGAAATGTTAGGTATATAATGAAGTAAGCCTCATGACGCGTTTTAAAGTCGTACTAACCTAGACCCAAAGTGTTAACCAAGAATTTAGTCTAGACTATAGCAACTCTCTCGACTAAGACTCATTCCTTCTTACACATCAAGCAAAAGGCTTTTTTTTTTGGCCGCAAATGATGGCTATCCTGAAAGTTTAAACTGATTCATCGGAGCACAATGAAAAGGGGAGGAATTAGTACCGGACATTTTTTGGACTTTGTAAGTAATCTTGTCCTAGATTGACACTTTGTATAGGGCCTAACTTCTCTCTTTTGTTTTTGCCTTTTGTAACTAGGCCTCCTGTAACTATGCATCTTCTTGATGCTTTTTATAATGAAACACCTTACTTCATCAAAGAAAAAACACCCTTCCTAATGCATACAAAGACATTTGACAATCTTCTGCGTTTCAAAATTCGACACGCTTCTTACATTGTAATTTAGATCTTGACCAACCTAAACGAATGACCTTGTCCCCTCTACTTTCTCCTTCTAATTAAATTGGGCAGATATAGTCTCCTTATCTATTGAAAGAAGTAATGGTGGCACAAAAAAAAAATGAAACCTAACAATTTAGGTAGGTTAGTAGCTGAAAATACAAGAGCTGCTACAACTTTCACTTTATCTCCAACTTATGGAAATTAAGACATCCATAAAGCCAAAAGACCAATCAATCTTGAACTCAAAATGACACAAAGTTCAGATCGTTACGGGTAAATTAATAAATCAACAATCCAAATCAAGAAAGATCACATACTAGAAATGGGGACGTCCACACATATGAACTAATGAAAATTTCCACACTGGTAAAATCAAAATTCAAGTCAAACCCAATTGAAGAGATCACCTACAGGACACAACCACATATATTTTACCTTTACTGATGCAAATTAAACGGCAAAATTTCCTAGAATTAGTTCAATTCACTCACTCTCAATAAAGGGACAAAACTCTGCGTAACAAAAAAAGACCATTTATACGTATATGAAAATTGGAAGACTCACAGTAGACTTAACAAGGATGGCTTCAGGTTGTTGAAGTGGGTCAGTAGAGAAGCGGTGGTAGTCTCCAAGCGGCGGTTTACTCGACGTGAATGGGAGCTCACGCTGTTGACGATGTGGCTGCTGCATGATCTGTTACTCTTCTTTTTTAAGCAAAACCCAGCTGACAAAATTCCCAAAGTTTTAAATCTTTTGATTTTCAATTCAACATTAATCAAATTGAATTGGAAGCCCTTGTGGCTATGATTTTGGGGGGTTTTCAGAGGAAATTGAAGGAGAGGAATTTAGAGAGAAAGGAAATGGAAGGAATTGAGAAGAAGGGGAATTGGGGAGAGGAGAGGAAGAAGATGAGATCTGAGAATAGAAAAAGCGGGAAGAGAGAGAAAGGGGAGAAAACGAGGGAAAGGAAAGGAAGAAAGAAACAAAAGAGGTTCGGATATGTATATGGAGGGAAGCACAAGCACTTGATATATAAATTTAATTTAAAGAAGAATAATGGAATCAAACAAGGTCAACTCATCTAATCTTTCTTTAATATTTCTGGATTGAATAATACTATTTTTTTTTTCTAATCATTATTTTTAAAATAAAAAATAATTAAGATCTACTTGAAACTTTTATGGTAATTTCTTTTTTTAACTCCTGAGATTGGGGAAATTTTTGAATTTTAAACAATAATTAAATTAAAAATATATTTTAAAATTCATTTGGTTCAAATATCGTAATGTTATATAGCTGATAAATGATATAGTTCAATGGTGCTATAAGAGTTTTGGCTACACTCCACGTTTAGTTCTTCACATGGCATGACAAATGCTAAACGGCGTTGAGCTAATTGTTGACAAATATAACAATGGCAAAGAATTAAGTAATTAACGTGCCATTTTAGGAGGGGGAGGAAATTACATGTATATATAGTGTTGAATTTGCATGTTGAAAACACTTTTTATTCGGTGGCGGTATTGTATTCCAACAATTGGTTTTTTATTTATCGAACAACAAATAACATACATATAATGAAGAATTTGGGTAGTTGAACTTTACCGTTACTTATGTATTAAGAGAATTAACAATCACGTGATATATTTTAAACATTATACAACTAATCTAGATGCGATAGTTTCACATAATTATAACCAGATAACTAATTAAAATATACTTTTTATTATAAGACTCGACATAAGAATATAACTTAACTCTATAATTGCCAATCACCAAATCTATTTATGATTTATTTCTTAGAATTTAAAGAATACACTATCACCTTAGCAAATTTTACATTATCGGGTGACTTTACATGTTGTAACAAGTAAGCTGCCTTATTTTTAAGATTACAAATCTCAATCTTTTAAAGCTGTTCAGGAGACTTTAATAATAAATATTGTTTAAATGACCTGATAGTATAAAAATATTCTTTATCGTAATGATATATAAAACGTAAATTTTTTTCTTAGTACTCAAGATAGTAAAGGTAATGCTCATAGTCATATGCCATTAATTAAGTAATAAAGGATTTTACTAATTTGTTTCTTTTCTTTTTTTTTGGTGTGTTTTCCTTCTCTCTATAGGAACTTTAAGAAACTAATAGTATCAAAAGAAAGAAATTAAATCGGCGGTTGGCGCCTAATAGAGAGCACCGTTGAAGTGGGGCGACGTTTTGGCGCGTGGAAACTCCACGTTTACACCTCTATAACTCACTCGAATACGGCTCAAACGCTAACCAACACTCACTACTAGTGTGGCGCCAAACGGACTCTTGAAACAACAAAACCCAATTTTGTCTACTAATGGGCTGCACCTGTTAAAGTAGCCCGATTTAACCATTAACTTCTTTTTTTTTGGGCGTTTTTTGCATTTTTAACTTGCTTTACGAACTATTATATTTGGTAGCCAAAAAATTATATAAAATTTATATATAACATACAGAATATATATATATATATA